TTGCTGTAGGGCTAGCCGTAGGAAGTTTTCGTGCTTTTCCTCTCCATGTAACGCAAAACGTGTTAGTTTCACCAAAAAGTCCTCCATGTAAGCTAGTTTGATCCAATACTGGTTTCAGAAGTCCCCTTGTCTTTTGAATACGGTTCAAAATTACAAGGATACTGAGTTGGACATTAATAGTCGTAAACTCAACGTCATAAAATAACGGTTATAAAATATAAAATAAAAATTTACTATCCATATTTAAACCGAAATACTTTGAGACCGAGAATTTTTCATAGAAGCTAATTACTAAAAATATAAAAATTAACACAGATTATTTGAAATTCTCTATTGCGACCATTTTATCGCAACTTTCAACGGTCAGGAAGGTTCATTCACTTCTCACAGAACATATACAATTATAATAAATTAGTAATGTTTTTATATAATAGATTATAATTAAACTGAATGCAAATGTGACAACGATAAGAGTGATAAACATAATAAAATGATTTTAGCCGTCATATACATCACCCGACCCAGTAAGTAAAAGTTATGGTCTTTTAAGGGTTGAGGCAAAAATTCACGGTCACCTCTCTTAAGCTTACTGAAAAAAAATCAATAGGTTTATCCTTCGACTAGAATACTCCTCTACAACTTTGGAGGGCCAGACTACCCCCTCTCTCGCTCGCTACGTCCCTGAAATCATTGCATATTAAATTCATGACATAATCCCGTACCCTTTAGAAAAATACAAAGCGATTCCATGTATGATAGAAAGAGAATAATTTAATTGCATAGTATGTTAATTTAATTTATTGGCTTTCTGTATTATTTCACAAGTAAGAGCCATTTATCAGTTTGACTTAGCAATGTTAATTGCATAGNGAAGGATTATAAAACAATTTGCTTACATTTTAATGGGAAAACTGAGACCGATCAGCCTGAATAAGAAGTTGGCGGGCCGCACAATATGTGTTGGCCGGCCACATGCGGCCCGCCAGTTGGACAGCCCTGGACTAGAGTATTCCTCTACAACTTAGGAGGGCCAGACTACCCCCTCCCTCGCTCGCTACGCCCTTGAGTTCATTGCATATTAAATTCATGACTCAATCCCTTACCCTTTAGTAAAATACAAAGCGATACCACGTATGATAGAAAGAGAATAATTTAATTGCATAGTATGTTAATTTAATTTATTGGTTTTCTGTATCATTTCACAAGTAAGAGCCATTTATCAGTTTAACTTAGCAATGATAATTGCACAGTATGTTAATTTAATTTATTGGTTTTCTGTATTATTTCACAAGTAAGAGCCATTTATCAGTTTAACTTAGCATTGTTATTTGCATAGTATGTTAATTTAATTTGTTGGCTTTTTGTATCATTTCACAAGTAAGGGCCATTTATCAGTTTAACTTAGCAATGTTAATTGCCCAGTAAAGCTGATGCAATTAACAACATTCTTCCTTCGTTGTCAACTTTAAGGGAATACGTTGTTCACGTTACTTAGTATTTAAAATTAATTTATATAAAAGAGTAATTTTTCCGCAAGAGAGTACAATATTAAAAATATTTAAACAAAGGATTTTTTTAAATAAATGAAATGGAGAGGGTTCTGATTAAGAGTAATTAAATATGTTAGGAATTGTCTATTGTCCACTGCTTATTTTAAATAATCCAAATCAAAAAGTATGGCTCCACATTTGGACTGAACGAAGGACACGGTATCCAGTAGATCGCAAAGGTCAGCTTGCGAAAGGACCGAGGATGTATGATGTCGGTCCTCGCTAAATTGTTCGACCATGATGTGCTCGACTTCGCATGCAGCTCTTCGGGGCTTATCAAAGTGGGAAAGCCATCCCCTCAGCTGAGGATCAAAACTGTGATGGTATATCTTCGAATCATTCTCAGGGATGTATTCCAGACCATCACCGAGCAGCGGTGACTCAGGAGATAGAGCGTTCGCTTCCCAATGAGGAGACACAGGTTCGTACCCCAGAGGTAGCTGTTAGATATTAATTCTTCTCCTGGCGTTGCTCTAAACACATTGCTGACATAAAATGTCCTCAGTGGTAGACGGACCACAGTTTTGAATCTCTTTGCCGTTGGAGTTATCGTGGGAGGTTTTTGTAGTTTTCCTCTCTATGTAAAGCAAATGCGGGTTAGTTCCTTTGAAAAAACCTCCAGGAGGACTAGTTTGTTTCTATACTTGATCCAGGAATTGCTTTGACTTCTGGATTGACTTCAAAAATACTAGGCTACAGAGTTGAACATTGATGTGCGTAAACTCAGAATTGGGTTGATCAAAGCCGGTAATAAAATAAAATAAAATAGCACATTGTGGAACGTTAGTGCGTCATTAAAAAAATACTACTACTAAAGTGTGTGAACCAGAATTTTTCCCAAAATTTTCAAATGCATCATTTAATTTTAAAACGTATATAGTTTCCAGAGCTTTATCATTTACGTTTATCCATTCCTCAATAGCTCAAATTTTCAATTCTTATTATTATAATTTTCAATTAGCATTTTAAGTACTTTAAAACGCAAAAGAAAATTAAAAATTAACAAAAGTAAGTTTATTAATTTCCAGACAGCAAGCATATCTGTCATTTTCTTGAAGTCTAAATGGAAGGGCGTGTCTTTTCTGCTTAAGGCAACTAATATTACCTGGCAAAGTCTATTCTGCCAAACAATTGAAAAATTAAAGTAAGTGCATCACAAAAGATTTGCATTTACGTTGCTTTTTCAATTGCACGTCAGAGTCTTAAATGCAATTTTAGAAATTAAATTGTATTTATACTGTATTTATTTATAGTTCATATAAAACTATGTAGAAATTCAATCATTTGAAATTAATTGTTTAAAAAACGTTTAAAACAGCAACAAAATGATTTGAGTTCAATTGTTAAACTCTTCTAAATACTGAAGTAGATTAAGTAAAATACGTCAAAATTTTTTCAAGGTTATGATTTCACTTGAGCTAATATTTTTTTATGCCTTGTCCAGTTATATAAAATGTCGAACCCTTTTAATTAGCATTTTTGTGTTTGACTTTTTTATAGTCGTTGCTGAAAGCAATGATTGAATCAAAATTATAGAGAAGTGGTCGGNGTTAAAAGGGTGAAAGAGAGAAAGAAATTTTGCAATATCAAAATGTTACAATTTTCAGAGTTAAAAGTTCTATTTTTCTTTTTTGTGGCTCGCCATAAATTTGTAACGTTGTTTAAGTTTCATCTTTCGTCAAATTATTTTACACTTTATAACTCCCTGTCCTCAGTTTGGCTTGATTCCTCTGATTAATTACAAAATAATGGATATTTCTCTATGCTGGAGGCTACTGCTGTTCCAAAACCTCTTAAATTAGAATTGGATTTAACAGGTTGAGATATCCCTTACCTCACGCCACCATGTTTTATTGTAAAATAAAATCTAAGTAGCTAGATACATCGCAGTTTTTCTTGTTTCAAAATATTCTGCACATGAATCTCGATTGTTGCTTTTTCATCCCAATTTTACGTCATTTTATTTCAAATTTATTTAATCCCTTAAAAAGATATGGAATTTTGTTTCGAAAGGAAGCTTTTTCTTTCTTCTTTCTTATGTCCTTCCGAACAGCGCACATACAATCATTTTCGTCAATGAACTGAAATTGACATATTTAAAGGCAATGATAACTATGACTTGCAAAAGTATTTAAAAACGAAGATTTTACAATAGCAGCAATACTTACGGAAGTTCTTGAAATTAAATTATTTTATCTTGTGGTATTTGGATTTTATATCAAATGAATACAGATAGAATTGAACCGAATGTAGTATTTAAAGAACGCCGAATCCAACAAAATATGATGTTTCAAACAATAGGTTTTGAAACAGTACTACAAAGAATGCTAGTATCCAGTTTAAATAGATGAAAAAACATCAAAAATATACAAATGTAATCAACGAAAGCAATCTATCCATATTGTTACTTTGATGTATGCGCTAAAATTGTTAACTAACACCATTTCCTGCTTATCTAGGTAAATGTCATTTATCTTGCACTGATGGTGAATACTGAGTAAAAAAGTATTAATATTTTTTTATTAATAACGACTCTTCCATCTAATCCGGTAAATGTTGACATTCATATTGCACTGATAGGGAATGCTGTATAAAAAGAGACTATTAATATTTCTCAATTGTTACCCTTACTCAGTGCATGTCGAATATCGACTTTAGATAGCGTAAATGCACGTATTGATATTCAACACAAGCAATTTAATCGACATTCAATATCAGTGTTTGCTAAATAACGACATTTACGCGTGTAAGTAATAAATAATGATAAATAACAAATATTTCTTCTCCAAAGCTAACAATTACAGTGTTTTACACTAACAAATATGCATAATATATTATATTAAAATGAACGGTTTTTTTCAGGAATTTCTTTTTAAACAATTCATTCTAAGCAGGAGAGTCAAACTAACCTTCTGACCCAGAATTTTTATTTAACATATTTTCAGACTTTTTTCTCTCATTATTTTGTATTAATTTAGGTTAAAATAAGTGAAAATATTATATTTAGAATTTTAATAATTTATGGTAATGCAAAGCACATGGAATACCGGTGTCTGCATTTAATGGTAACATTTTTCAAACACGGCTCATTTGCAAACAATACTTTTTCAAATTAGCAGTCATTTAGATCTAAGAGAAGCAGTAAATCATAGTTGAAATTTCTTTAATTTACAAAATCAATCATTTATAAATTTTTGAATGTGAATGAAAAAAAAATTCTTACTGGGTTTTTGCATTTTATATTTTATTATATAATAATAATCTGTGAGATTATCGGATATTTTCGATAATCTCACAGACTCTTTAGCAACTATTGGACCGTTTTTTTATAATTAAAACACTAAAATATATTTTTATTGTTTTAATTAAAGCGTCTGAAAAAAATATGTAAAAGGTACACCGCTGTTTTATTTTCACCAAAGGAATTAATTAACTTAAATAAATACTTACCTAATTTTCAAAGAATTATCAGCTAATTTAAGTGTTGTGAGTGTTAATCCACTGAAAGCCAAATCAGGTACTTCTGTGATACGATTCCGAGATAAATCCAGCTCTTTTAAATTATTCAGTCTTTTCAGCGACTGTGTTGGCACGTCTGTTAATTCATTCATTTCCAAATTCAAACTACTTAGGGTCCTTTCTAGACCTTGAAAGGCCATCGGAGACACACTATTTAAACCGACACTGGACAGCTGTATAGCTCGAACGTCAAGACCACTGAATACACCATCATCCAGGCTCAATATGGACCCATTGACCACAGCTAACAGATCTAGTGGAGGTTTGGACTGGAGGGCCTCCACTAGTCTGGTAAGTTCTATAGAACCACATTGAACAGTCAGTCGAAGGTTACCACCTGTACCACAGACACATCGGATTTGAAGATCATCATACTGGGGAGGCCAATCACATGCTGCATGGCAAAATGGTGCTCCTATGGTCACAAGCAGCAGGCAGAGGTTGCGAAGAGTAGTCCTCAGTAAAGGCATGCCTGCAAAATAGTATAAACTTAAGCATTGGTGTCATTTTGGATGTGCATCAAGGGACATGTGGGCGAAGTGTGACCTTGTCACACTTATGAGGTAACTGAGACGTGCTCTTTTCTTTGGGCGGATGGGGTTGAAAGTGTTAGTTTTACTACCTGGTCGTTTTCCCTTCAAACGCCTTTCACTTCCATTTGAGGCACGCCCTGCTTATAACTGTAAACAATAATACTAATTTTTGCCAAACATGTAACTACTTATTGATGCTAATAATTTTTTGTTTTTATGTCCAGGAAGTGAAGACAGTGACCCAAAACCTTAACAAATCTCTTTATGAGAAATGCAAAAAAATAGTCTTTTAATGAGCATGAAATTAAATACTTAAAAATTTTAGCGAAATTACTAGTATCTCAAATTAGCTGTTAATATTAAACTATTTAAATTGAATTAACACGCAGTTGCAGGATTCCTTACAAATCTCTTTATGCGAAACATCAAAGAAGACTTTCATTAAATATGAAATTAGTGCTTTCAAATTTTTCTAAGATGGTTAATGATAAATAACTAATATCACAAATTACTGGTAATTATTTAAATTGAATAAAGAGTTAAAGACAGGATTTATGATGCAGGCCAAACTGTGGAAGTTCACTGTAATTTATCTTTAGTTATTTCTTTATTTTGAATATGTAAAATGTCGGGATGTTTTTTTAAAGGTTATGATCTGAAAGGATATGATCTGATCAGGATATGATCTGAAAGAAAATAAGCAAATGATAAAATGACATTTTTCAACGGGTAAAAAGGTTACAGGGCGAGTTCTTAACCAAAATTAAGTAAAATTAAAAAGAGATTAGGATAATTTAAATGTTTTAATATCTTCTCCCTATTTGTCTTGCTCTAAAATCTTATTTTATATTGAATAAAATGCATATAGAATGCATCGTCTTCGTTTAACTAATTGAAAAAATAAATAAGAGTAAGTGTTCATTCTGTATGTTAGTTTTTTTAGGGTCAATAAATCTTTTTTGATATTTATCAAAACTGATATTTATCTCAGTCCATAGCAGAAAAAGAAATCATATAATGCTTTTAGTAATGTGTTTGATTTGACGATACGAATGTCTTTAAATCAATTGGAAACTACACCGAAGAGCCATTACATTATGACCACCCTCCATCTATAACAATGGTCTCGTTCAGGTTTTCATGGTTTCTCACCCAGGAACAATGTTATCATGGGGCACATTAGGATCCATAATCTTCATAGAACAACCCCTGACGTCTGTAAGCTACTTGAACATAGTTACAGACCAGGTTCACCCATTCATGGCAACAGTTTTTCCTGCGGGTTTGGTGTTTACCTACAGGATAATGCATCATGTCATAAGGATCGAACCGTCATGGATTGGTTCGAGGAACATTCCCGTGACTTTCAAGTCATGTCTTGGCCCCCAAATTCACCTAACCTTAATCCAATAGAGCATTTGTGGTCCTACTTGGAAAACCAAATTCGTGCTGCCACGCTACACCCTCGCAATGTGAGGGAATTGCAGGACCAGTTGGTGAGCGCTTGGTACCAGATACCCCAGACTACCTATCAGCACCTTGTGGAATCAATTCCACTGCGGGTGCTAGCAGTTTTGAGGGCTAAAGGTGGCCCTACATGTTATTAGCAGGGTGGTCATAATGTAATGGCTTCTCGGTGTATGTAAGAATGAAATCAGTAAAATGAATTGAACATGAACTTAAACATGATAAAAAAAATGACGGAAAAGCCGATATCTTTATATTTTCAAGAAGTATTGTTTATTCACAAAAATTTACTTTTAAAGTTAAAAAATTAAGGAAAAAAATTAACAGAGTAAAACTTAATCAAAATAGTTATAACCTCACAGATGAGCATAGTTTCAAAAATTTCAATTTTTCGTAGTTTCCAAAAAAAAGGCCTGAGTTTCAAAGATTAAAATTATTTATTTTTTTTAAAATCCGGGTTTTAACTTGTCAATAAAAAAACTCGTAAAATAAAAAAGGCTAATAAAAATATAGTGTCTTCTTCGAAAAAAGCACTGTTTTGAGAAAATGGCATTTCAATTTCGTAAAAGTTTATTTTATGCATTTACGCGTTCAAGTAAGGGGTGTAGAACTTTTCTCGCTTCGTTCAGTTTCAACATATAATTTCAGGAGATTTTACATCTGCGCACCGTCAAATAGCGTTAAAAGAGAAATCAAAATGTTAGTTTAAATGCATAGTTCATGCACATGCCTCTTCTCGTTCCTCAGGCCTATTGAAATTCTCTTTCTTGATTTATTGGCAACAGACTTTACGAAACATTAGAAATTGATATATATAATCACGTGGATAAAGTGAATCCACGTGATATCATATGCGTGAAATCATTTAGTTCTTATTGTTTTTGCAAAACGAAGTTGAAGTTAAAATAATTGTATGCAAAATGCCCCATTTAAACAAAAAATCAGACGGATGTTACGAAGTTGCTTAGGTTATATAATTTAAACGTCTTCTAAAACAACAAAAAGATTTACAAGATAATATTTATTCACTATTCAATCAAAAGTAAATAAACCAAACATATGTATTTATTTTCAGAAACTAGATATTCATATCACGAACTATTATAATGTCAGTACACAATCAATTTTAATGTAAAAAACTGGTAGGAAAAAAATCACCCTTGATTAACAAGTTAGGAGAGAAACATTTCATCCAGTCACAATCCAATAATAAGAAGTTAAAGTAGTAGTGCAGAATGAAAAGATGTCTTTAACGCTTTTTCTTTTTCCATCCATAATAGTACTTGATTAATATTCACAATGAGAGGAATATAAACTCTCATCTGATTAAGATTTAAGGATGTGAGAGGAGTGATTACTACTGGAGAAACTCATTAACTAACTTTTTTTACATAATCATTCCAACAATTTTACAAAAGAAAAAGAAATGGCTGGCTTGTGACTTGGTTGTCATTGTTAGTCTAAAGAATTAAAAGGAAGAAATCGCAGACGATAAAAACAAGAGTTAAAAGAATGAAAATAGTTGTGCGTTGTAGATCTCTGGCGAGATTAAAAACGTTTATAATCGTTTGGCGTGCTGCCGGTCTTGGAAATTGAGGACAAGGCGACGAACTAAGGTATCTTAGTATTGGGTGCTCCTTTTTTAATCTCCTTTGATATGCCACTTGCAAACAAAGTACAATGCGAACAGTATAATAGTTAGGAGTCATAAGCGTTTTATGTACAAAAAGTACAAATTTGACATTACATATTTATGCATTCGATATAGCTATTTAAACAAGTGAATCGTTGTTTCCGATGTATATCTTTCCACGTTGAATCGAATGAGATTATACATTAGTCAATAGAACGAATAGTTCAAATGTTGCAAGAGTTTTTATGTATGAAAAGTATTACGTATGTCATTTATGTATTTGTCCTTTTTGTACACAAAAACCTTGTTAATTCTTAACAATTTATCTTATTGATTTCTATTTTGTTTCATTCAATTTAGCATGAAAAATAAAATCGAAAATAAACCTTACATGTTCAGATAGTTCTGGGATAGCAAAGTAGCCTATATGTATAAATATGTGCACTGTAAAAATTGTTTCTCAAAATTGAGAGAAATTGTATTAAAATTGCTCGAAAGCAAATTATATATAGTCGAATTTAAAAGTCCTTTGAATTCAAGAATAAAACAGCATATACTAATTTTCGAGCAAAGTATATTGCCTCAAATGGGGTGGGAGAAATGCGTGAGAGGTGTTCGTTGACTGCCTTCAGGATTCGAACCAATGACCTCTGATTTCGTAGTAGCATATTTTTGAAGCCAATGAAGTAATATCTTACTGCTTCATTTTCTTGGGATTGTTCATTTAGTTGACTTAGAGCTTTAGATCGCAAAGAATAATAATAGTTATGTATTTTAGATATCTGTCAAAATTAAAAATCGTTGGTATGACTGATAGATCTTAGAAATCGGAGAAACGGCGATGAGCCAAAAAAGAGTCAATTGTGTTTTTTTAAATTTTTTTCCTTACGTATTGGGAGTTGAAATAAAAAGTTGTAAAGATATTTCTAAAAAAAAGTTAAACTAAAATTAGCCGTTCACAAAAAAATTTTAACGGAAGAAATTGAATATTAACTATACTTTTGCTATAAAATTCTTTAATCCTTTTGAAAATGTTTATAAAAGGGAATAACTTATTTTAACTATTAACACTTATAATACTATTAACACTTATTTTAACTTGTTGATATAGTAGCTCTTTCGTATTTTATCTTTCAATTGATAAATCTATTTTTTTTTTTGTTTAATCTATTTTGTAAAAATGAAACTATAAAATAAGTAAATGCAAGAATTTAAGTTGAAAACTAAACTTAATAAGCATTTAGAAAATAAACAAACTTTCTAAAGACTAACTAAATTACTTTGATGAGGAATTTTAATTCAAACAGAAATTCTTATTTATTTATTTAATTTACGTAAAGGTATAAAAGCCTTTGTTCTAAAACAACTTCTTTTCCTTAAAGCTAATAACACGAACTCTCGTTACCTTGCAAAGAACGGAAATCATTACACAGACATGTTTTAAAAATATCTAAACTTGCTTTATTGTTTTTTAAATAATTGCAAAATAGAATGGCAACACTATATAGCAGTACATTTACAAAGTTTTTTTGTTATACCACTGATTGATTGTAATGCATACAAATTTTAAAGCGGTTCCAGTGATAAAAAAAAGTGATAAAATTCAGAACTTCCAAAAATACGAATGAAAACATGCAGTTTTGATGTAGTGAAGCATCTCATTCGTGAAAATTAAAACGACCATAAATTTTGCACGTGACAATTTTAAGAAATAGCTACATGCAAGCGATTTTTTTTTTACATGAAGTTTTAATCGTTTGATTTTTATGATAATGTAAATGTAGTTTTAAGTGTAATTTAAAAGCTTCTTTGATGTTTAATTAGATGGTTTTAGAATTT